TTTGACCGTTTTTCACGTGTTAGACCGATTGACCAAGATACAAAAGGTTTTTATAAAATAATTATTTGGGAACCTTTTAAATATGCCCATAGGTAAAAAAGAGGTTTAAAATATTGAAAACCACCAAGTTCGTTCGGACGCCGAAAACCGAACGCTGAACCCCTAATGCCGAATGCCGACCGAGGTGGTTTTTGGTCTGGGCAAGGACCATGGATTTTAATACAATAAAACTTTATTAAAAACGTTTATTTTGATGCGCAAAAACATTTTATGATTTTGTAAAATTATTTTGACCCTTTGAGAACTGAGACTTGAATTGATTGTCAGTTTTTATCACAATAAGACCGACTCGACTAAGTCTTCAATTCTTGATCTTTGTCCTTGAGTATTTTGGTCTTGTTCCATGCCATTCTTCACGCCATGAGTTGTTCAACGAAACTCTTCATATCCACGGCGGTTTGGCAATTATCAAAACCTGTCAGAAATGAACATGACTTTAGTTTAACGTAATAAAAAGTGTGTTCCAACTGATAACACTCGATGTTAGGCCTCTATTTGTTAATAAATGTTATGATGATTATTATGATCAAACCTTGGTAATATTCTGAATAAATATTTGTTATAGTGGATAAAGCATAATGGAACATCATTGATAATAAATATCGGTTATGACGATTAAATGGACGACCCGAATAATTATGACTACATAATGATAATGGTTTTACTCTGAAAAAATAATAAAGTATGGAAATGAACGAATGAACCGTACAAAAATGAAATCGTGGATAAATTTGTTTGTTTGACTATCTTGAATTAAATGATGATTATGAATTAATGAATTATGATTCAAAATGAATAAGTAGATAAACAAGGAAATGATGTGTAACGTTAAGGATATCTAGAAGAACTCTAAAATATATCCAATTCATTGATGTTAAGGCAATCTAGAAGACCTCTAAGATAGACCTCATGTTAGAATGGACTTGTGATGATCTGATCACTATTTTGTTATGCCTTAAAGTAATTATAGTTTAAGCATCTCAGAATTGTTATTTTCCTTAAATTAATAAAAGTTTAAGCGTCGGAGAACTATTACCTTAAACTAATTAATGCTTAAGGATCGGAGAACTGTTGCCTTAGACTCATTAAAGTTTAAGCGTTTGAGAATTCTTTTCCTTAAATTAATTACAGTTTAAGCGTCTGAGTATGAAAATCATGGTCTGGCCTTAGACTAAGAATAGATAAGAGCGTTGTTATGATCTGGCCTTCGACTAAGAATAGCTAAGAGCGTTGTTATGATCTGGCCTTAAACTAAGAATAGCTAAGAGTGTTGTTATTATTTGGCCTTAGATTAAGAATAATTTGAGAGCACTGTCGAAATAATATCTGAATTGAATAAAATGTGTTCATATGAACTGAACGATATCAAAACTGTGAATGTCTGAAATAAACATTGTGTGCATGATATTAAATGATTTGATAATGAATTTAGGTACAGTTTAGATGGATGCTCGATGCATTAGATATGCTTACTCAGCTTTACCGCTGAGCGTGTAGTGTGTTTTATTTTCTACACGCAGGTAAACAGAAAGAATAATGTGATCCTGGAAGCAGATGGGGCGAGATTGTCAAGATGCATGTGACAAGTCTTAAAATAATCTATGTTATGTCAATATTAAATTCGCTTCCGCAATATTGTTGAATACTCCGTACTGTATATGTTATGAAAAATATTATCATGATAAATAAGTGTTAGAAAAGTTTTAATTTTTTTACGATTACCAAGTTAATACTTTAATCCGAAAGGGGCTGCAGACCTAGACGGATTAGGGTGTTAAAGGTCATCCCGGAACTCGTCAAACCTTAATTTCTCTACCAACACGAGATGAATGTAATCATCTGGGATTTGTTTTGCTCGAGATCTTGTGATGGGTCCCGTTGGTAAGGTCACATTGGAAGTATTGCTATCAAGATTCACATCAAGCATTGTCTCTCTCCCTTAGGGACACACTGTTAATCTTCCAAAAATACTCTTCTTTTTTTGTATCGCAGTAACTTCACTCTCTAGGGTAGGTTGATGTAAGAGTTCGGCTACCATCTTCTAACTCAAGGAATTGGCTACTACATTAGGCTTACCAAGGTGGTAATCGGTATAACAATCATTGTTGTTGATCCATTCTAGCCATCTTCTCTGTCTCATATTCAACTCTTTCTTTGTCTACAAATATTTCAAACTCTTATGATCCGTGTGAATATAAGTCGTCTCTCCAAAAAAAATAATGATGCTAGGTTTTTAATCCCAACAATATTTCTAGCTCAAGGTCATGAGTAAGACACGAGTTCATGAGGTTCACACTTTGATGTTTGTCGAGCTTGCTCCCAAAGTGAGCGTGAAAGGATTCCCTCTTAGTTGTCTAGGTGCAAGGTTTTAGATATCACGAGGTCTGATCGATGCTCATACTAACGTACAAAGTTCATGCATTTGTTGGGATATTCACAGTTTCTGAATTGTCAACAGTCTAGTTTGTGGGGAGCCTATTTCACTAAGTTATATCGGACAATGCTTTTCTATCACGTTATCACATCACGGTATATATGGCGAAACACTACCATCATATTCAGGGTGGAGTCAATACATAGTCATTCCGCCTAATGGACAGCTATCCATTAAGATCAGTTATTATGTTGCTGCTCATGGTCTTTAATGTTTTTGTACTATTAGCATTCTTGTTCCTCTATACTCAAGTGTTCTCATCTCTCTAGCACGTAGTCAACCCATCAAGGTATACCTACTTGCATTTTTATTGGTTCTAGCGAAGTGTCACTTAAGATTACCTTCTTTAACAAAAAAGAGGATTCCTGAGTATGTGATCTCATTTATGACTATAAAAAATAACATTGCGTTAGGATTTCTTATGAGGACTTTAACTTTATAGGTTTAGATGGTATCTTTTCTTTTGAAATTTCCTATAGCAGTGTGGACAACAATTCTTTCGTTAGTAGTGCTTCTACCGTGATCCACTCAAAAAGTCTCGGGTACTTTCGAAGCTCAAGGAAACATCATCTTTTTGTACACAATTCCTTGAGAAATCTTTAGCCTTGCGGTTTCCACCAATTACACGAGTAACATGGTCGCGTAGGTCTATTCAATAGGATCATGATGAGTTCATTTTCTTGTAGACACTGTCATAGTTATATGTTTCAACCAGATGGTTCGTAAGAATGAGTTGGAACTTCCGGTTGTGAACATTATCAGGGGGTTCTTTCACTTATTTGATCTTGCAAGGCGCCCTCATTCATTACATCGTTATTCGATTAAGCAAGAGATCGTGAAAGTTTTTTACAGAGTATGGTTTTATCATGCATAGAAGTTTTGAAGTTTACCAGGTTGATCCAAATAGAACATATTTAATATTCAGAACAATAGTATAGTCAACAGCATGCTCAAGTTACGTTTCAACTTTAGTAGTTCGGGGTACAAGTCGTTCGATCATCACAACGGTCATGCCTCCACTTGGTACTGTTATCACACACTTGCTGGATGTTTCAAAAACTCATTTTTAAGCGTCATACCTTCTTCAAAGTGTTACTAACACAAGTGAGTCATTCCTCTGGGGTTCTTCATAGTATAGTTTATGTTCATCAGTAATTCAGATTCGAAGTCGTGTTTGGGACGTCGAGTAGTTGGTGTTCAATTCATAACTTCTAAAATAAGTTAAATCATGGTTAACCTATCTTTAGCATATAACATTAGGTATGTCAAATATTTTTTTTCAAGAGTCACAACATTAAACATCTATCCATGCTTTGTTTGCTCTCCTTACATGTTTGTTGTATCCCATTTGCTGGCTCGTGTGGTGTCCCTCGTAGAATTAGATCGTTTTTCATTATGCATGAGTGTGTGTGTTGAACTCATCAATGTGGTAGCATCATTCTTCGTCGTCTTCATGTGATCTACGTCATGCACATTTCCATGTGCCACACTCTCTGAGTGTTATAACGTTGTTCGTCTCCCTTAGCCACGTGATCCACACGATGATGATGTTGGCCATGTGTGCATCAATTCTCCTGTGGCGGATGCTATGTGGGTTAAGTCACAATCGAATATCGTGGGCGCTTGTGTGATAAATGCACTATAAGACTAGGGTATGCGCCTCTTCTAACACCAATTGGTTTTAGAAGAGTTAGTAGGGCTTGAGGTTCTACAAGTGGTATCAGAGCCAAGATCATAAGTTCAATTCCGAGCGAGAGAAATAGCTGAGGGGAAGATTTTTTGCCATGTGTGCGTCAATTGTCCGTGGCGAAGGCTACGTGGGTCAAGTCACAATCGAATGTCGTGGGCGCTTGTGTGCTGAATGTACTGTAAGGCAAGGGTATGCGCCTCTCGTAACACTAATTGCTTTTAGAAGGGTTGGTAGAACCTGAGGTCCTACAGATGATAGCGATTTTCATCTCATCACTCCTCGCATCAAGAAGGTTCATAAGGTGAGTAGAATCCATTGAGTTAAGTGTCTCTTCATGAAACCGCTTCAAACATATTTGTCGTGGTTGTGGTTGTGTCACTAGTGTTCCCTCGTTGGGTCGTGCTCACCCCACGCATTAGGTGTAGCTTCTGTGTTCGTGTTTGTCGTATAGCGTCCCTTACAAGGTGGCTTACATCTACGTTGGGGTTTCCCTTTATTCACATGCATACTCGAGGGTACTACTTTGTTGCACAAGTGGTTATTCAACGTTTACGCCCACGTCGTCAGCGACATGATTCACATTTAGTATATTCATTGATATCCGAGTAGGTTCGTCTCTCGCGAGTCACAATTTATAATATTCAATACGTACATGTTTGTAGCCAAGCAAGAACTCAATTTTATTCATTACTAATTTTGATTAAAAAATTCTTTGAACCATACAAATGCGTATAAGTGGGAAATTCTACAAACGTCGCCACTACTACTACTAGAATAACTATTAAAATTACTATTCATACGAAAACTATTCTCTATAATGGGGGTCACATGTTATTTTATGAGTGCATTAACAAGATGTCGATATCTCAAGGCACACGATGTGCGTATTGTCGGTGCTACTGGTCTTTTTCGAGTCAACATTCCTCACGCTCACGCATCGCCTTATCATCATCTTTCGTTTAGCCTTCATTGCACTCCATCGGGCAAGTAGATATCCCCTTAGAGGTGGGTAAACTGTCTTCACAATTTTCCCTTGGTTCGTCACATTGAAACGTTGTGCTGGTACACGGTGCTCTTAGAGATCAATTATCTCGACCTCGTCTTCCAAGTTAGTTTCAGGTATCACAAAGCTACGATGAGCTGGTAGGCGCCACCTCCCAAAGTAGTTGATCTAGCTCTTCTTTTTTGTCTTTTCTTTGTTAATTCCCATATCGTTAGCATAGTTTGAGCTAGCATCAACTTCGTAGTTATCAAGTTCCATCTATATGATACGAATTCCTAACTTAGTGTAAAAGAACTAGTATACAAACCTCATAACAATAATTCACCTTTCAATGTAAATATACAACAAATAAGGCAATATCTTATTACCTCTCGGGTAGAGAAGACGAGAAGGATGCAGATGCAGTACATAAAAATTGTTGTAGTTGTCATTATTATTAAAATAATATTATACTTATTTCTTAATTTATTATTTGTTTCCAAAATAGTATTTTGTAATGGTCTGAAGACCGATTTTAAAACCATATGCTCCGACACCAAATTGAAACGCCCCAACTCCCATAACCCGAATAAACGAGTTAGCGAACTGGGTTGCTACTAAATTGGTACGTGTTATACCCACATACGTATGTTTCTTTTCAATCAATTTAAAAATCATTTAATTAAAATCAAACGTTTCAAAATTAATTTAATTATTTAGTGGAGTTAACTCAAAAAGTAAAAAAGCTTAATAAAATATTAACACATCAATTAAAATATTCCAATCATAATCATTTTAAAAAGTTCTGTATTTGGACAACCCTTTCTGTCTTGCTGCCCTCCAGGTATGCCCCAGCTAAATACCTGCGTTCAAACAAAGACAACAAAAACTACACACTCAAAGCGGAGTGAGGGTATATCCAACGCTAAAATCAGTTCACAGAGTAGCACAACAGTCACATACTTATAAACAAAATTATTCGAGTAACATTATAATCACATACAACATTTCTGTTGCAATTCTTATGTAGCAAAATTGTGCAATAATAATATCTGTTGCAAATTTCCGATGCAATGCTCTGCAACGGAAAATCCGTTGCAAAAATGAATTTGCAACAATGGTTTTTGCGATGGCAAATGTGCAACGGAAAATCTATTGCAATCATCATCAGCAACGGAATAATAAAAACATTGAAACAGAAATTGCTGTTGCAAATTCCGTCTAATTCTTATAGTGCTACTAGACAAAGTTCAACTATCCATAGAAGTCATGGACACTCATTAGCTGCCAAAAGTTCATGCTTGTAACCCAATGAAAGGTGTTCAATGTGCGGGATGGAGCCCCTACTACATAGGTGCTGAGGCAGGTCGCAGACTTCAGTATGTACATTTATAGCCCTAGAGTCCATCAATTGTACACCGACACCTGTATGACCTTAAATTCCAAATCCTCAACCCTATAGGTAATTTCAGTATACAACTTCATTCAGAACCCATTAGGAACACTAGCTGATCTGATCCTTGAACCTCAGTTCATAGTTATCACCCATAAATATAATTTAATTAGTTCATGTACAGCTCATAAGAAATCAAACGTATAAATCAGCGGCCAATCAGGAACGCCCTTTGGTTATTGTCAAGCATAAACAACATAATATATACCAAAATTTCAAGTTGTTCGAATTACCTGTCTAATGGTCCCAATGCAAATTCGAAACTGAGATTCCAATTCCAGACATGCTGCACCCGTCGAAACAATACACTGCCACACCAAACCGACCCGGCACCCTGCCAAAATTAGCCCGCTGCCTAGCCCCTGCCAGAGCCGACTGCCCAGCATGTCACACGCCATTGCCCAGCCTCTACTCTCGCTGGTAGCCTGGCGGAGAATCCATAGATGAACCAACCCAACCTCAATCCAAGCAAATCATCGATTAATCAACAAATTTCACATTCAATTGCAAGAATATACATCAATGAAGTTCTAATCTACGACTTAATCCTAACAATAGACATATGAACCACGACTAACCTTGATTTGTTGAAGAATTCAAATTCAAAGTCAAAGAACCGTTGCTCCTCCTTCTTTCCGTCAGTCGCTACCCACGCGCGCAAGGAGGACAAGAAAATGATGGCGACGATAGCAACTGCTGGTGATGCAACTCGCGGGAAAAGTGGATGAAGATGCTTTGATGTTGGTCGATGCTCGGCAAAACACATCCGAGAAAACAAGTCTAGGGTGGAAAAGAAAACAATAAGCTTACGTGCGTATAAGCGTATATAAAGAGAATTGGGGTCGAATTACAACTCCTTATTTAACAAGGACACAGATAAGCCTAATACCTCAGCCGTCAACCGTATCTCTGCCTAAGAACTCCGATTCGAGATCAACTATGATTAGAAATCAGTTTGCATCTTTAGGTTCAAAAGAGCAAGCTTTACGAAACAAAATAATTTTCCCCAAATTAGAAACGAAATTACCAATTAACCCCTATCGATCCCGGCTCGATAATTAATCAATTATTCAAAGTAATTAATAATTCTAAACTAGGTTTTGAGGCATTACAATTACTTAATAAATTGTTATTACCATCCTGGGGTGGAGTCCAAATTACCAATTAACCCCCTATCTGGAGGGAGCATAGTATAAAATTATTCATTTAATTATTCTACTGCAATATCTATTTTATTCATAATTTTTTAATATAAGTTATTATTCAAAAAATGATATAGCGTTAATAATCTTTACACAAGGTTGCCCAATGACTTATAATTTTACGATCGAAAAAGAGTAAACTAGATTTTTCACATGACACTTATGAATTAGTTCTAACTAGGTATTCAGAACCAGGGTGTCAAAACTAGAATAATGATATGTTCAAAAGTATACTCTTAATACTGCATATATTCTCACTCTAGATTTATCTCAGTGATTAATTAATTTGTTTTCAATTAATTAATATTGATAGACTCGTACAACTAAACTATTCACATTTAGTTATGAAAACAAATCATACCTTGAAATCCTATTTAGATGATTAAAATCTTCATAATCATACATAATCATTTAAAAGCATTAATTAAACGACGCAATGTTCATTTTCACACATTTACTCATTACAATTATAATACTTATTTACGAACAACGTAGCATTCATTCTGAAATAATGTAGTGCATTCCAAGCATGCTCTATGTAATCTTTATTCTTAACCAACGTAGTGTTCACTTTGAAAAATTGTAGTGCTCATTCTGAAATAGTGTTCATTCTAAAACAACATAGTGTTTATTCTGATACATTTTTTAATTACAAGTTTGCTATGATGTACGGTACATCCGACTATACCATATAATATGCCCTGTAAAGTGAGTAATTTATAAAATTCTATACATTCCCCATATTTCTTTTTATATAAGAGGCAATTGATCCAAGAACCCCAACAATATTTGTAATAAAGAATGTCTCATATCAACTTTTCGTTGTAGATAGTTTTATCCACTACTCCGTATGCAATTCTTCAATTTCGAGTGATGGGAGTTCAAAACATGTTCCAGGCAGGTGGTCGGATTGTTGGGTAGGTCTTTTTATGGCTGCAAGGAACAAAGTTTTGGGTGCACATGAGCATATGCTAAAATAATTAGTCTACATTTGGATTGATTTGATAGTCGGAATAGAGCTGAAATTGAATTACTGGAAACTGGATAGAATCTTATGACAACTCCCCCAAATCCCATGGCTCGAGCACACGCCAAGAGATATACTTCGTAATAAATAAGGGAGGCATCAGATACTTCCGGTTCCAACAAAAGGATATTGGTGAATTCCAGGATTTCCCAAAAATTCTCTCAATTCCGTGAATCCAAAGCCAATCCAAACGAGACCCAAAGTAATAAAAACTTATCTCTGACTATTTAGTCACTTGAACCTGGATCAGTGTCTTCTTCAATGCTGCATTGCAGTTCGAGGGTATCTGTGTGGTCATTGAGATTTGGAGCAACACTGTTACCGAGTGCAAGTGAAGTGCCTTTGAATTGACAGTAAGCTGATGTCGAATTTTGTTGCATTTCTTTTGTCTTACCGCTTTCCTCATCCTGCCGGTCCATGTCAATAAGAACCTGCCAGCATATGCACAAATTTTTGATACATCAAATGGGACAAGCATTCAGCATCATGCGAATATGAGAATTTACAAGCCAGTACATAATAACCAGTTCACCACTACCATCATCATCACCTTAATCTCAAGGCATAATGATAAAAAAACATCATTCGACGTATTTGTGATTATGTCCACTGCTTTAAAGATGTCAATTTAAACTTGCATTGAGTTTATGGTCAAACTAGAATATGTTGCCCTAGACAAGGTAGGCACATAGTGAATGACTAAACAAGATTCTAGTAAGCAGGGAATAGTAAACATTTTCCATGTGAGCTAAGTAGTCTTAATTGGATTACTAGAAATGGTCATACTCAGGTTTTTTCTACAAGCATGAAAAATATTATAAGATGGCGATACTATACTAAAGTTTTTGTCGGTAAGCAGCAAATTCCAACCAAAACTCCATAATTCCGTCTTAGCCGGCTTGCCTTCCCAGATCCCAGCTGCCGCCACTGATTAGGGTATCTCTAATTCCCTAATCTCCTCTTTATTCTATTTCTTGAATTCCAATTTTTGGGAATTTTTTTAAAATTATGAGTATCGCTTGTATTTTCAGATTAATTGGATAGTATGTTATTTCTTTTTTGGATACTTTCATACTTGATTTTTGATACGGAGTAAATGCTACTTTTATGTCTTTTGCACAATGTGTAAACTAGTGCAGCTACCTTAAGTGTTCTATGTTTGTGGCTACTCTGGAAAACATCAGCATTTGATTTGAGTTCTATATTGTTATTATGCATATTTGGTTGATTTAGGGCTGGGGTTAAGGAATTATCTGTATAATAATAATAATAATATTATTAATAATATTAATAATAATAATAATAATAATAATAAAGCTATAGCCTCCACTGTTTTGATGATCAGGCATTTTGGTTATGGTTTTGATAATTTTATGATATTGAGATTTGTTTTTGAATATTCAAATTATCCATGTAAAGTCCAAAGAAAAAAAGGTATTAATCCAAGTAATGAATTTGAATCATGATATTACTCTACATGTTCTATCACCATATGTTGCAGATGCTTGAATCAGGAAAATACCTATCACAACTTGCCTATTTGTATGTAACATATATTCGAATCTATTTAAATTAGATTTTATCTATGTTTTTTTGTCTGGATCATGTTATGGGACAGAAAGAGAGACATTGCCATGTTTGGATCATCCCATTCTTTCCACTTTGTATTCACACATTGAGACTAGTAGGTCCTCTTTCCTGGTGGAGATCTGCATGCTCTTCATCAAACAAAGCCTGGGAATTTTTTTTAGATAATGCTGCCGGGTTTTAATTCTTCTTCCAATTCTTATCAAAAGCTAAATACCATTCAGGCATCTCACACCATAAATTTGATGTCAAGCTTATAAGAATGTCAAGAACATTGAATGTGTTACTAAAAACATCAAGCTGTAGGACTTTCTCTTCCATCAAAAGTATGCCAAGCAAAAGATACAGATGACAGGACAACATCTGATTATTTGGAAAAAGATTCTGCACATGACAAAGGGTTCTCAAATTATGAAGTTCATAGAAAGCCGACCGAGGTACTTAATTGAGATAAACTTTTGTGCTCACGGAGTTCTTTTTATTTGACTGATTATTTGATTTTTTGGGAATTCATTTGTTACAAATATGCCCTATAAGCTGACATTTTTCTAAATGGTTATCATAACATATATTGGATTATGGTTATCTTTACGTGGCCTCCTACTCAAGGGTTGTCTCAGCTCCCTCAAGGGTTATGTCCCAAAATATAGTGGGATGGGAAAGTATAATTTTAATATGCAAACCAGCAATATTAACATGAGCTTTAGCTTATGTTGTCGAAGTATAGAAGTTCAAAATTTACCCATATCCCAGTTTGAGAGAGAGATGGGGAATGACTTTTATTGTCCGCTGATATAATATTTAGGCGATCTTTGGGTTGATGGTTTAAGTGGATTATTTTATGTGTGACTTTGTTCATAGATGGATTTGTTAGGTGTGCAGTGCTATGTTTCTGAAAGTAACAGACAAACTAAGCTCCTCACTGTTTATTCAATCACTTTAATGCTTCCAATACGATTAGGCATTGTGATGAGAGGCACTCTCATGATTCATGATTCTTCTGGCATTTATTAGATGTTTCGTTAAATCACTAAACGTTAAAAAATAAAAGAGAAGTTTGGTAGGATGTTCTCTCTTTTTTAAGGATCACCCCTAATTTAGATAATGATTCCATGTCACATGATATCAATTATTTCACCTTTTTCATATGAAACCGTTTTTGCAGAGACTTAAACAAGCATACGGCAAGCACTTTGGGTCATGGTTATTAAATTGAATTTTTTAATCAATTAAATCTGCACTTCAGTCTACCGACAGGTGTCCCTCCTTCTCATGGTGCGGCAGAACACGTCCACATCTGCGCCTATGGTAACCATGGTGTGGCATTGCTTGTCTAGGCCTACCGATATCCCTCCCAATAGAGTTTATTAATTGTAAAGTCAATTGATATTTGATAGGAGTGAATCTACATATTCCTAAGCCTTTTGGGTTATCTGGAGCAGGTGAGTAGAATGTATTTAATATGTGTTTGATGATATTGATAGGAGTTTTCATTTGAAACGGTTCCTTGCAATTAATCGGATTTGAACTGATAAGCATTTATTAGGAAAAGGGAATGGGAAAGTTTTTTTCGATATTGACGTATGTGAGCATTGGGAAAGTTTTTCGATATTGACTTTTGTCTAATTAGGCCATTATATGTGTGTCTATGTGTTGAGTATTTGTTAGAATTTCCTGAAGCATTTTGGTTGTTGTGTGGAGATTTGGGTTAGTCACTATGTCTTCTACTCTTCTTTGAGAGTTGTTTGCGCCGGGAAGAAAGAGAGTTATGTTCCACTTCAAAAGTCTTCGCTTGATGTTTACTTTAATAAAATATTATAATGTATAATTAGTATAAAAATGATTTGATTAGATTTATCTTGTTGAGAACTTTGAAATTTTGATTTCATTGTATTAATATGCAATCCAAATTGAGAGTAAATGGTACGGTCATTAAAGTTCGTCCAGTAAAAGTCCATAGTAGTCAAACTGGATGAATATACTAGGACGGAGGGAGTATATGACGAAATCATATATGGTTTTATGTTTTAAAATGCATTTCTTGATTGAATACTGAAAGATGTTTTGGCCAGTCCTACCACAGTATTTGATGAAGTTGTGTACTGCTGTTTCAGGATATCTTTTTAAAGTGTCGCTTATTACTCACTTTGAGCACAATCAAGTAACTCTCCAAACAGATTTGATAAGATTTTTGCTCTATAACTTTATATTTTCTTCATAGCCTGTTATTTCTAAGTTTAACAATTGATGCGGTATTCTTCCATAGCTTATCCGCTCATACAATATGCACATTTTTTTATTAGGCCGGGTTGACAGAACGTTTTATTTTCATTTTCCTACATGAATAATGATTGGGATGTTATATTGTTTGGGGATTTTATTTAACCAAATGCTCAAGACTCCCTGGCAATACTGACATTCTTTCACAGTCGTTCCTTTGAACATGTAACTATGCTTGGCTTCTTTCAAGGCCTATTGGGACAAATATGTTCCATCAGCGAGGGTCGAGCTGACAGTCCATTTGCAGGTGGAATATTTCAAATAAGTAATCACTATCCACCAGATTATCCCTTCAAGCAACCTAAGGTTGTCAGAATGTGATTTAACTGGAAAGTTCTGTTTGATTCCACCATAGTCTGTTTATGTTGTCCTGTCTTTATTTGGCTTCTAAATGGATTTCAAATTTTTATGTTCTTTGTGTTTTGATATTTTATCTTATGAACGATGCCTCCATTCTTTTTGAGAATTCATGAATGATGACTCCATTCTATTAGAGTTTTAGCTCAATGACTCCACTCTATTGTAGTTGTTTCAGGCACAATGACCCCGCGCTATTAGCCTTTTGGGTCAAGTAAATTGAGAATTTATGAACAATTTTAAACATTAAAGTGAATCTTATATCATATTTAGGAGGGGAAGGGGTAGACCTAGGAAGACTTGGAAGGAGGTGATTAGACACGACTTCGGGCTTCTTGCCCTTATTGAGGATATGACCTTAGATATGAGCGTTTGGAGAGCTAGCGTTAGAGTAGCAAGGTAGGTGCATGAGCGTAGGGGGTCCTTCATCTTTGGAGAGCTAGGGTTAGACGTACGAAGTAGATTTTTTGTTATTGCATAGTTGTATGAGCATTCATAGTTATCCCCCTTCATCGTTGTTTCCCAAACCCGGCATCACCCTTTTCTACACCCCTCTGCCAACTGAACAACGCTCCCACTTCAGTTTTCTTTGCAGGCTCTAAGGTTGGCTGATGAGGTTCAACACATCATCAAAAAGTTTGATGACAATGTCTAAAGAGAGACCATGAAATACCTCAGGCCTTCTCCAAAAAAGGACTCATCTGGTTACCTTTTTTATTGGGGAGCCAACAAAAAGGCCAGAAAAAGTCTATTCAGTTACTGGTTATTTAGAGGTATTTATGGTAGGATTCTTTTTTTTCTCATTGTCTAATAGAATCGCACGTTCTACTCGCCTTAATATCAATTTTCGGGCCTGTTCAATACTCTTTGAGTTCAATCAATCTATTTGTTTCCTGTTCTCTATAATCGCACACTATTATTTTCATTGCTTTAGTTGTTTAAACATTTTATTGGGTTTTGGTGTTTGGGAGTGTGATTTATTTATCAAGTTTATTGTATTCTTTTCTTTAACGTGTGAAACGTGCAGTCTTGGAGAAGAACAAGGTCTTCTCTAGGCATAATCAAGCACACTTTATTAACAACAGGTCAATGGAAGTTGGATTCTATTAGTTTTTGTATTGTTTCATTATTCAACAGTGGATCCTTTGTGATGGTAGAGTTTGTTCATAGGTTTTTTGAAAAATGGATGGCCTAGCAGACAAGATTCTGAGGTCTCAACCACCAGTAGAATTCTAGCAGAAGTTTATATACTATACTTCTCTTACTGTTCCTATTCTTGGCTCCGTTTGTATGTGGCTTGAAGGTAGAATATAGTACTAAATCAGTTTGTATTTAAATGACTATTGCAAATGGTGTCACTGCCTGAAGACGGTTCTTACATATGCTTATTTGTGAGTGCTGTTTTTGGGGCCACTTCTAAATACTCCCCTTTTATTCAGAATTCAATCATACTGTGAGCCCTGTCTCTGTACAAATAGACAAGATTGATATATGAATATCTAAAGAAACTTGGTTTTATATTTGGAACAGTGAAGATGTTGCTTAAAAAATAAAATACTTGTTTAAAGGAACTGTTAAGGACTAAATATAATACTTTTCTTTGATCCAGAATAACATGATCGGTCCGCAGGAATCATAATATTTTGTGATGATGAAATTAAGAAAGAAATAGGAAGGGGAAATTTTGAGAAACCGGTACACCGAAAGAGGCAAAAGCCGACCACTGTTCAGACTGGCGTGAAGGAGAACATGGAATGATCCCAGGAACATAAAGCCTGAAAACTTCTTGTTTTCTAATAAGAGGAAAGTTCATTACTGAAGGCTTTTGGTTTTGGTTTCTCCATCTTCTCTAAGCCAGGTATAAAACAACTCACCTAATTTGTGACTGCTTTTACACCGCCACGTGCTACAATTTGTGCCTTCGACTGTTCATTTAATGCAACTTAGCTCACTGCAAGTTTTATTTGAACCTTCAGATAATCATATAAATTAGAATGCTATATTATGTTTTCTCGCCAAGTTTTTTTACCCTTTTAAGTAGTTTCTTTTAAGATCAGGAGGAATGCTAATATTGATTATTTTTGAGGGGATAGTTTTTAACATTTCGTAATTTTAATAAATTCCTAAATAAAACAGATGTTAACAGTACTCTTTATAGTTTGTACGGAGTAACACGAAAATGACATTCTGAGATTTTGCACTCTGAGGCTGAGAAAGTAATGGAAACCTATATCAACTTTGATAGTTTATTTCTGCACAATCCATTTCTTTGAAAGTCATTTATTCACTTTTTTATTTAGTTCTCTAATATTGTCTAAATAGTTTTTTGCATGTACTGATAACTTTTTGTGTGTGTGCATGTAAGTGTGTAACTCTCATTTTCATGACTATTAAACTAGTAAATTTAGTGGTTAAAAAGTTGTCAAAGGTTTGTAATAAAAATCAATTTTTCAAACTTTACATAAAAACAACTTCTAAAAGATTTCCATTAAAACTATAAATTTGGTAAGTTCAAGTCTAAAAGCATAATAGTTATAGTGGAGGTTAAAATGAGTTCATCCATGTCTACTCCACCCATATCACTGAATTTCCAAAACAGAGAGGTCCAATCCATTCACCTGGGACTAACTAAAAAATTTCCATTAATGTCTAAACGTGCCTATGAAATTTACGTGTTCTATATATTATGTTGGGGTATCTATGAATAGAAAACCACAACCAAACAAGAACACACACAAAACTGAAATCAAAACGGAGAAAACGGAACACAAGAATTATGTTGGTTCGGTCGGCTGACCTAATCCACTTTGCAACTAGGGTTTTAATTATCCAGGAGCTCGCAGAATTACAAGTACAGAGATCGCTATTTATGAAGACTGAACTAGGGTTGAAAACTTAATCCCCAAGTTAGGCCCAAGCCCACATAGAGATTTAGGGCCGTCTAAATGAAAAACCTAATTTACTGCCATATGGGCTATGTAGCATTGAAACGGAAACGGGGACAGAGACGAAACGAAACGGACACGCCGAAACGGCTATTTTGAAAAAATGAAGAGACGAAACGTCGGGGAAACGCCAAATTTATATATAAAAATTATATATATATAAATAAAATTATGTAAACAAATTCACAATACATAACATATTTTAGTCATTACAAAACATATTAAAGTACAAGTTCACAAGACATATCATAATTTAGTCATTACAAAACATATTAAAGTATAAGTTCAAAAGAGATAGCATAATTTAGTCATTACAAAACATATTAAAGTATAAATAAGTTCAAAATACATAACATAAAACCCAGAAGTCCCTGACCAGGCTTCTCCCTTTGTCGGCGAGAAGCTTATTTGGAGAGAACACTTCACCTGATGTCGCGCCCTTTGTCGGCGAGTAGTTGGCCAACCAGCTGCGTAAAGCTTCTTCGAGGGCCGCTGTCTATTGTCGATGAATATGATAGCCGCGTAACATAGAGGAGCGATGAAGATTTAGGTCCAGATAATACTTTTTATAATTTGAGTTAGTTCCTAAACTTTTAAAGTTTATAAAAAGAACCTCATTTTTTCAAAAGAGGTGTCCCTGCCGTTTCCCAAAAGAGACACGCGTGTCCTAGCCGTTTCCTTGGCGTTTTTTTCTATTTTTTAAAAATTAAAATTACAGAAACGCCACGTGGAGTTTCCGAGACGTCTCCAGGCGTGTCCAAGGTGTCCGAAACGGGTACGGCAGCCTATATGGAGTTTCCGTGCAACATAGCATATGGGTGTTAGGCTTCAACTCAAGGTGGAAGAAGGGGGAATCAGGATAGCAGGGAGACAGTAGGTATCTAGGGTTGGTTTTGGAAGAAGATTTAAGTAAAGGGGTGAAAGTATTTAGAAGAGGGATGTCCTGATAGAAGATGGCAGCAAAGGGAGGATAGGTTTTAGGTTATATTTTGTATAAGGAAGGGTGAAAATGAATTGTATTTAGAGGAGGGAATGGATGGGCTGAATTGAAGGAAAAAAAAGGCAGGAAATTCTTTTGTTGTTTTATTTTGGGGATAAACCAAGTTGGTGTTTAAGAGATATAACACACTCTTATCTTAACTTGGGGTTAAGTCTAGAATTTAATTAAGATATAACACACTTAATTAAATATCTAGAACCTAAACTCACACTTAAGGTAACCACCCTTAAGATATAGAATTAGGAATTTAAACAAAGAATACAACAAGTGTATTATTTGATAGAAATGAGATTACCAAACTGTTTTTTTT